GCCGTGAGAAACTACCGAACATCAACCACAAAGTAGTAGGTACGTCAATTCTTTGCCATGGTGGAGGCACCATTAACAGACCTGATGAAAGGGGGGCAGCCCCAGAAAGTGCGGTGGATGGAACAGTGTGAGGAAGCATTCCAATGGTTGAAACAATGGTTCATGAAGGCCCCTATATTGGCCCAGCCCAATTTCTCCAAGACCTTTCTAGTACAAACAGATGCGTCGAACGTGGGGTTAGGAGCGGTGTTATCCTAAAAACATGGGGGGATGGGACAGCCTGTTTTATATATAAGCCACAAGCTAATACCATGGGAGAAGCTATATTCAACCATAGTGAAAGAAGCGTTAGTGGTTAAATGGGCAGTGGAATCCCTACAGTACTGCCTGCTGGAAAATTCCTTCCAGTTGATAACTGACCATACACCATTAAAATGGATCCAGACTATGAAAGAGACCAACCCACGCATAATGAGGTGGTATTTATTCTTACAACAGTATAAATTTCAAGTCTTGCATAGATCGGGGCAGAACCATGGTAATGAGGATTTCTTTTCTCAGTGTGAAAGTGGGACAGGAGACCTACAAAGTACAGAGACACTAAGGGAGGAGGCGTGTGACAGGAATCCACATCCCCGCACTGTAAACCACCCGAGCATGGCGTTGCAAGTCTCACAGCCCAGCGAACACCGGGTTTGCCATGCCTGTGCAGAAGCCATCCTCCCTGAACGCAGCGGCACTAGGACCTAGAGGCCATCGCACGTCTGCAGCGCGGAGACGCTGGGCGACACAGAGCGGGGACTCCAAAAGGACAGGGGAATTGGAGAGGCAGGGGGAGAGCAGGGACTGGTTGTGCTCTCTCCCACAGGAGGTCTGGAGAAAACAACCGGAGCAGAGGGGCTGGCAGGACTGACGCTGAGTCTCCAGGACCAAGTCAAAGGGGCCTCGGGAAGGAGGATTTGGGCGGGCGTGGAGGGTTGTTAGCGACCAGGAATGAACTTGTGGTGACATTGGAACGGGGGCACCCATGAGGGAGATAGTAGGCAGGGTGTGAACTCCATGGGGGCAGAGGCAGGGCAAGGAAAAGGGTGAGTGGCGTACTCCAAATCCTGACCTTGCCACATGCTCTAAAACTTAAAACAAAAATTCAGTTTTCTCCAAATTTCAGTTGTTTTGATATACCCCCCAACTTCTCTCGAGTACCCCTAAGGGTATTCATACCACTGGTGGAGAAACACTGATCTAGGTAGCTGTTTGAGATACCAAGTGTGCAGGGCTGGATATATGGGCAGATGACCTAGGCGACCGCCTGAGGTGACAGGCTCAGGGCACTGTTCAAGTTGTTAGTGACAAAAGAGAAAAGAGAACATTTCAGATATTTAAGTATTCCATATGTGGATGTATTTTCCACTAACCTCGTAAAATGTTTATGAACTACAAAAATCTCATAGAACCTTCCAGACTTTCTGGGAACTACCCATTAAATATTTTCTTTTTTAGTCACTACTTTCACTCTTCAAGTTTTAAAACACAAGTATACTTTTAAATACACCATGGCTGTGTCTAGACTGGCCAGTTTTTCCGGAAAATCAGCCGCTTTTCCGGAAAAACTTGACAGCTGTCTACACTGGCCGCTTGAATTTCCGCAAAAGCACTGACTTCCTACTGTAAGAAATCAGTGCTTTTTGTGGAAATACTATGCTGCTCCCGTTTGGGCAAAAGTGCGCAAAACTTTTGCGCAAAAAGGCCAGTGTAGACAGCTGGTGATCGGGCTTTTTTGCGGAAAAGCGCGTCTAGATTGGCCACGGACGCTTTTCCGCAAAAAGTGCTTTTGCGGAAAAGCGTCCTTGCCAATCTAGACGCTCTGTTCCAAAAATGCTTTTAACGGAAAACTTTTCCGTTAAAAGCATTTCCGGAAAATCATGCCAGTCTAGACGTAGCGCATCATAATATCTTAGCTGAGCTTTCCACTTAACTTTGTTCTTATATCTCCCTCATTGTCTGGCAATGCCTTTTATAAACTTGTATATATTATTAGGAGGTTCAATGAAAATGTATGAGATGTCAGAGATATCTACTGAACCTATATCTACACAACAATGTGAAAGAAATATTATTTCTTTTGCCATGCTTAACATGTATTATTTAATTACTTCTAAGATTGCAGAACATAGGGTACGCCTACACTAGCTCGTTAGTTCGAGCTAAGTAGGGTAACTAGGGCAAGCACAGTTGCAAATGAAGCCCAGGATTTAAATATCCCGGGCTTCATTTGCATGTTCCCGGGTGCCTCCATTTTTAAATCCCCCTTAGTCTGAACTCTGTGCCCGCGGCTACACTTGGCACCAAGGAGGTGGTTCAAATTAAAGATCCTAATTCAAACTACCGTTACTCCTCGTGGATCCTCATGGAATGAGGAGTAATGGTAGTTCGAATTAGGGTCTTTAATTCGAAGTACCTACTCTGTGCCACGTGTAGCCACGGGCACAGAGTTCGGACTAAGGGAGATTTAAAAATGGTGGCACCCGGGAACATGCAAATGAAGCCCGGGATATTTAAATCCCGGGCTTCATTTGCAACTCCGCTTGCCCTAATTACCCTACCTATCTCGAACTGACAAGCTAGTGTAGACGTACCCATAGATTTTTGCTCTCTCTGGGTATGTCTACACTACCCCGCTAGTTCGAACTAGGGGGAAAATGTAGGCATACCGCACTTGCAAATGAAGCCCGGGATTTGAATTTCCCGGGCTTCATTTGCATAAGCGGGGAGCCGCCATTTTTTAAACCCCGCTGGTTCGAACCCCGTGCAGCGCAGCTACACGGGGCTCGAACTAGGTAGTTCGAACTAGGATTCCTATTCCGAACTACCGGTACACCTCGGGCTTCATTTGCAAGTGCGGTATGCCTACATTACCCCCCTAGTTTGAACTAGGAGGGTAGTGTAGACATACCCTCTAATACTGTCTTTATTCACCCATAAAAATAAAAGATTGCCTCTAGCAGTTCAGTATAGGAAGCGAAAAGCTCAATTGTAATCTAGTTTGCATCATTGGGCAAATTTGGTGGGAAAATATCTGAAACAGAAATACAGACCGGGTTTTAGGCAGTGCTCATTGTCTCAGTGCAGAAGAAATTGAGGAGGGAACTTTAAATGATGGAAGTCCTATTATTAAGGAATTAGCAGATTTACCTGAATTTTCAGAATAGAAATGTGAGGAAAGTGATAGAGAATTATCCAGTTTTTCTAGAAGCATAAAGAAGAGTGATGATAAAGGAGAACCTAGCTCACATGAAAAGGAGAGTAATAACAAAGAAAAATCTGGTTTATATGAAAAGGAGAGAAACTATAAAGAAGAATCAGTCTTGTATAATGACAGAAACAGCAGTGAGAAATTTTGCATATCACTAACCAGTACGTCAGATCCTCCTTTATGGCCAGCGATCCCAAACTCTCCTGATATTGATCATACAATTTTGAACAGGCTGGGTAAAATTGACATTATGTTTCCAGTAAATGAGCAGAAGCAACATGTCTTATCTCAAGAGTGGTGAGAAACAGAATTATTATTGTCTAGTTTACTCAAAATCAAAGTTTCTTTGTTTGTTGCAAAATATTTGACAAGAATGCCAAATGGTTGCTTTTACTTTTTGGGTACAATCACTGGGATAATTTAGCTGATGCTCTGAAGCAACATGAAAAGTCCCCCAGCCATTTTACAGCCTACTCTAAATGGATGGAAGTCGAGTCCAGGTGCAAGCTGAATAAGTGCATAGATGCAGAAAACTAGCACATTATTAATGCAAAAACCCAGAATCGGAAGAATGTGCTTGAGCGTCTGATTTCAATTGTGCTCTTCCTTGCAAAGAATAATTTGGCTTTCTGGGGCTCATTGGGTAAGTTGGTCACTGAAAATAATGTTGATTTCATGGTTTGTTAGAGCTCCTAGGGAAATACGACATCATGCATGAGCACCTACATGGAGTACTTCATGAAGAAGATATGGAAGATTGCAGTGAAACAATTGAAAATGAATTGATTGACCTTTTGGCAAGGAAGGTGCTTGGTAACATATTGATGTGGCTCAGCAAAGCAAAGTACTATGATGTAATAATGGATTGCACTCTCAACATTAGTCACTCTGGAGAGATGTCATTTATAGTAAGATTTGTTGACGATGAGGATGTCTGTATCCTACCGACACCTCATCAGGGTGTTTTTTCTTTCTTTAACATTTTATTACCAGAGCCATTTGAAAGCAAACCAAGATCTTTCGTTTCTGAAGAGTTCATTTGTTGCTGCTGCTTATTTCCCTGAAGCTATAAGCTGGTGCTTATGATCTCAGAATCATTTCCACAGCAACCACTTGTGATAATTCAAATGGAGAAGTAGGAATAAGAGATCCTCCGGAAAAGAGCTTATTTTCCGAAGGATCGTGTCCAGACTGGCGCTTTTCTCCGGCTTATCTACAAGCCGGAAAAAAGCGGCAGCCATGAAAATGCAAATGCCGCGGGGGATATTTAAATCCCCCGCGGATTTGCCTATTCCCAAGTGCTACATTTGCATTCCTATTACGGAATAGGGGCCAATGTAGACACAGCCTTCCTGTTCTGGATTCCTTCTATGCAGCTGCACTGGATACAGGAGCTTTTGGGGCTAGGTGGTTGCCCCAGATCTTGCAGTCCTGGATCCCGGACTTCTGCCATGCTAGGTGGGCTAGTAACCCCCACCCCAACCCTGCTAGGTGGGAGCAGCCCAGACCCCACCGTGCCAGGCAGCCAGAACCAGCAAACCCCAACCTCAAAGGCTGGCCTTTAGCACACAGCTGAGCTGGGTAGCAGCTATATGCTACCTGGGTAGCACGTGGCTCATGGGCTGCGGATTAGGAACCATTGGACTAGATTGCAATGATCCCATCAGGCCTTGGAATTTATGAATCTATGAATCAATTCATCTGAAGGTAGGAGAATAAGATTTCCTTCCTATAGCTTAGCACTTACCATTCTGATTCTTTGCCAGAAGTATGCAAACAACTTTTGTCATGTTAATCATGCTCTTGGATTCAGTACTGACTGGAAACCAGAAGTGAAATACAGTAGAGTCCGGATTATCCGACCTTCACTAATCCGACATTCCGCTTTATCCGATATAGCCGGCTCCTGAAAGCAAAAATAAAATCCCACGCTGCCCCCAGCTGCCTGCCATGTGACCTGGCCTGTTTCTCCTTCCTCAGCTGCTGACATCCCTGCTGCTGCTACTCCTGTTGGCGCCGCTCAGTCCCCGTTCCAGCCTGGCTCCTTCCCTCCCTGCTGCCCCCGGAGCGACCGGGCAGCGAGTGGGGCCATTCTCCCAGCCTGCACCATGGGGCTGCAGGGAGGGAAGGGGCCTGACCACCCAAATCAACTACAGGTAATCCCTATTATCCGACATTTTCGTTAATCCGACCACCTGTCGGTCCCGTTTAAGTCAGTTAATCGGGACTCTACTGTAAAAGATATATGAAAATTACAGAACCCAGAAAAAAATTGGGTCGAATTTGGCACTAATAAGAATTCAATCCTTGAGAATGGAAGGCAGCAGATTTTATTTCAATATCTAAACTAGTTCGTTGATCCCTGATCAGCGTGACTTTGTTTATGATGTAGTGATTACATTAAAATTCAAATAAAAAGGCACCGTTTTCTGGAACTAATGTGTCCAAACACAATTGGTTATTAAAGAGACTAGCAGGATCTTTCTTCCCCTTCTTATAAATATATACCTATTCATACTGTCAATGCAGAAGTTGGAGGCAAATATTATTTAGATGGGAATTCTTACTTTGTTTAACACAGGATAAAATAACATGTGATCAGGCCAACTTCTTGATTGTTGTAAACAACAGAGCAAAATTAAAATTGATGTTTAGAATTAAATTATAGTATTTGTATATTTGACAAAACTCATCTTTTGGTCATAAATAGTTTTGCAAATTGATAAACTGTTTGCAAAAATAATAAAAAAGTTAAAGCTTCTGTATAAACCCCTTACTACTTGCATTGTGCTGATTGCCCATTTAAGGGTTATGTGTAAGGCAAAAATTGGTGTTCTATGAAAGATGATTCTCTGGTAATTTGTGTGTTAAAGAAAACAGAATTGCCATTTATGAGCTCACAGCAAGGAGGCAGATGTCATCAAAAGATGGAGGCTTACTCATAAAATGGCATATTTTCTGGATCAATATATGCAAGCATTGGGAACAGTTGAGATTTAGTGATAAATACAAAGAAGGGCTAATAGAACTGTCTTGAGCCAGCAGAGCTGTTCAGACCTTTTTGAGCTTGATTTGCAGTTTTTTGGGGTTTTTTTAAAGTTTTGGTCCAGTTTGGCTCCTTTTGATTTGTCTCCCCTCCTCCCAAGTTTCACCTTGAATTTTGACTTCAAATGAAGAAATACCAAAATGGTAGAAACATTCAGCTGTGACTGCTGTATCTTGTTGAGTATCAGAGGGGTAGCTGTGTTAGTCTGGATCTGAAAAAGCAACAAAGAGTCCTATAGCACCTTATAGACTAACAGATGTATTGGAGCATAAGCTTTTGTGGGCAAAGACCCACTTTGTCAGATGCATCTGTCGAAGTGAGTCTTTGCCCACGAAAGCTTATGCTCCAATACATCTGTTAGTCTATAAGGGTATGTCTACACTACAGCACTAATTTGAACTAATTTATTTCGAATTAGTTAATTCGAAATAAGCTAATTCGAAATAACGCATCTAGACCCAAAAACTAATTTGAATTAGCATTTTGCTAATTCGAAATAGCACGTCCACACTGATTGGATGCTGGGTTGCATTTAAGGGCAGCTGAAACCGGTTCTGGCAGGGCATCAGGTCAGTAGTTGTTTTGTGTGGCTGCTGTCTGAGGCTATCTGAGGCTCGTACTTAAAGGGACCCCCCTGGACAGCCGGTTCTCAGCTTTTTCACTTGCTTGCCTACCTCGCCGAGGGACAGCAAAGCGTTTTCCTCTGCACCTGGCTGTGTCGGTGGTTCCCATTGGGGACGCCGCCACAGTTGGCACCATCGAGCCAGAGCTCGCCCTGGGCATGCTGCTCCAGTTTTTGGACTTGCTGCTGTAAGCCTGCCAGCAATGGTTGGAGGCTGCCTGGCAACATCTGGTGCACGTCAGCCCCCTGTCTCTCCCCCTGGCCTCCCTGGGGACCGTCGAGGAGCCACAGCAGCGCCCAGTCGCCAGGGTGCCCCGCCATATC